ACCGCTGGTGGCTAATTTTTGTCACTTACTGCACTGGTTTCCTGCTCCTCAGGCTGAGACAGATAACACTGACAGCTCCCTTTGAGTTCCCATCCATCCAAAGCACACCACCCTTCTAGATTTGCAGTTCACGTTTCCTTCTGCAGAGCCAGGGTGTGTCCTTCTTTTCAGGTCTCTTCCCACCTCAGAACACTTAGGTCAGGCCCACTGTCCTGTATCTAAACCTGTGGGTCTAGATATGTTTCAGAATTCAAAGTTTTTCAGATTCTATAACAGTAAAATGGTATATAGTCCATATATTAGATCACATTCCCAGTGGGGCCTCGATCAGCACTCTGTAAACAAATCCTATATAATAAAAGGCTAATATGCAAATTGACCGAATGGCGGAACAACCAGTCGCTATGACACGCACTGACACCAGGGGGATGCTCAACAATGCAGGAGCTGCTGCCTGGTGGTCAGTGCACTCCCACAGGGGGAGCGCTGCTCAGACAGAAGCCCTGAGCTGGGCTGGTGAGTGCAGTGGCAGTGGCAGGAGCCTCTCCCACCTCTGTGGCAGCGCTAAGGACCCCTCAGGGGATGTTCGACTGCCAACTTAGGCCCGCTCCCTATCAGTCGGACATCCGCCGAGGGCTCCCAGCCTGCAAGAAGGCGCAGGCTGGGCTGAGGGACCCCCCTGAGTGTATGAATTTTGTGCACCGGCCTCTAGTACAATCATATCTCACACAAAATGTGTACATCATTGCCCTCAGTGAGACCAACAGTGACTCCACTCAGCTGCATGTCAGGAAGGTCAGATGTTGCTAGCAACCAAAGTTTTGTGCCAAATTTATGAAAAACAATTTTAGTTGCAGGGCTTTTGGAGTTTGGAATTGAGGATAAGGGAGTGTGGACCATATCATCCCCAGTTCCTTCTGCTCTACTCAGAGGCCTGGGCATGAAAACACTGACAGGGTTGTTCCTGCATTTGCTGCTCTGGCCAGGCTGGGGTCTGACTCAGGCGCCACCTGAAGAACCCCGGACTCCTCTTCTCATTCTAGGTTTTAGTGGGGAAAGTGGGCTCTTGGGAAATACAACCAGGATTTATACTTTGTATAGTCCATGCAGAGTTGTGAGCAAAAAGTGATAAAGGAAATACAAACTCAGAAATGAGAAGAATCAGAATTATTTTTCATTTGAAAGACCTATTTGCACTACTTAGCCCTCTCCCCTTCTTCCCTTGGGAGTTAGCTTACAGTAGCTTGGAGGACCACAGATAAAAGTGTAATACAGCAGGTAATATTAAAAACAACCTGTAAAAAAATGCATTATTCTGAAGACTTAGCAGCTCATTTTCTGTTGCTTTTACTTCTTATATTATCCCCCCACCCTCAGTGCATAACCTTTTTTAAATCTTATGTCCTGCTCCCAAATTCCTTCTGAGTTTAAAGTCTAATTTCTGTTTGTGTTACTCTGGTAAAGTCTATAAAAGGAAAATAATCAATTAATGGCATGCTTGTAGCTATAAACAGGGGATGGATTCAGAAATATACAAACATTCCAAGGGCCCTATTTCTTAGAATTGCCATATTCAACTCCCAATTAACCTTAAATTTACAAGTTTAATCAAATGTCCCAGTCTGTTTCCATTGAAAAGCGGTGCACTTCAGAGCCCTAGTCTCCAGGATCCAAACCAATCAAAGAAAGACCCCGTTGAAGGAGTCACTCTTTTAAGCTAAGTAAATTGCTCAGTGATCTTATGTAACGGTATTTCAGCTTCCCCAGAAGTGTTAATCCCAGTGCAGCAGGTGGTGTTGGCCACAGCACAGAGACCTCCTCGCTCAGCTAAAAGATAATCAAGTGCTATCCTATTATCAAAGAACATCTTTGGTCAGAGAATCTAAGGATTTTTGTTAGGCGGCTATTGTTTTAATAGCAGATTCTTGCAATATTTTCAAGAGCTAAGTAGAGGTTCCTGATTATACCCTCATTTGTACTCATTCCTAACCAGGGAATGCCTCCTTGTAGGACCATTCTAGGACTGTTAGGGGCACAGTTAGATAACTGAAGAAGCATTGCCCAGTTATGCACCAGCCATCTAGGCATTCATTGGCCCAAGGAGAATGATCACAGACAAAGATAAATCCTATAGAGCACAGTCCACTTCCACTAAGGTGGCACTGTTACAAGAACCATTTGCAGGGATTGTTGCATTTGCCCATTTAAGCCAGGGGTCAGTTAGGTTTCCTCCTAGCCTGAAGAGAAAGTTGTTCTAAATTCTAGAGGTTGCTCTCTTAGCAATGGTCTGGGAAATATGGGTGATGGTGTTACCTTTCCAGGCCAATGCCAGAGTAAAGAAAGAAAGAAAAGAAGGAAAGATTTCATACCTAGCTAAAGTAGGAAGTCTTGATCTGATGTCTTGGGCAGACGCAATCTACATCATTAAGAGCTACTTCTCTTCCTGGTTAATTTAATTTGGAGGTCTTCAGTGTTTATGCAGGCAAGCTGTGAGATGCATACCCAAGGTTCAAATCTTGGAGTTTGGCTGCCACCTGGGTAGTGAGGAGGATCTGCTATAGTCTTTTACCATTCCTCCTGGGTGGGATTCTGACTTAGAGGTATTCAATCATAATTCCTCAGGTGGTACTTTTACCCCATTGGGTTCTTTAGCCAAGCACATACCCCAAATGTCTGAACCTGCAGTCCCTCTCTGTACTAAGCAGGAATACTTTTTTTGTAAAGGCATATGAGTAAGATAATAACTGTAAGTGACAAAAGACTTAAAATGTTCATTGTTAAAAATCAAATGAGAGTTCATTATAATGGAATTGACAAGGAAATTAGGTTATTTCTGTAACATGTAACATTTTAAGACAATAACTGGAATTATGACTGATAACATTATACCAGGGCATATCAGACTTTGGGGAATTAATGAGATTTCTAGAACACTCATATACTTATACAAGTACAACATAAAGGAAGCTTATTATTTGACAATATTCCCCATGAAATTTAACATGTCTAATTAGTTTAGCATCTCCCTTTTTATAAGGAGAGAGAACAAATCTTTTGAAATGTAAAATCCCAAAGTTAGTACA